AATAATTAAAGTTACTTTATAGTTTTTCTATTCTTTCAAGTTAATCACATCTCAATGAGATACTGAGCCTAAGTCTAGGAAATAAATATATCATACTTTTGTACTTGAAAAATCTTATAGTACATCAAAATAGTTTCGAATAACTTGAATTTTATAGATAAAACATTTTCCAAGTTGATTTAATTGAGATAATAATATTAATTAAGTTTTGTTTTAGTTTTTTTCGTTTAAAAACAGAAAAGAAGAACGTTTCTGATACAATAATTTTATGATACTATAAACTGATTTTTCTACACGGAAATACAACAAAGACATGTTGATCATATACATTGCTCAAATCTGCGAATAGTCTATAATCTAAATCAATAGAAGGATTTAACAGTTGATAGTTTAAGATAAGAATACACTCTGAATGATTATCTGTACAAATACTGATATAAGTTTAATATACATCTGGACAAATCTTCAAAAGCACAACAATGTCAACTAACATTCAATACCTATCTCGCTGTAAAATCACCTCAAAAACACATGGTACCTCAGCATAGAGTTGTGAAAAAATAATAGGTTTCTCGTACAGTTATCTAAAAGTGCTAATCATACAAAAATAGATATATGCAATTTCTTAATAAATCACTACCAGCAATATGCATATTTCAGACATTTCTCCTTCTCACTACATCATTTTGTATACATAAATACCTTCTGTAGAAATGTCGATTAAAAAAATATGCGTGTGTTAATGAGTGTAAAAAAATTTAAATGTAAAAGAAATGAATATAATGTAATACGAAATTAAACTGTGAATCGTCTTTTTTCTTTCTTCCGTTTAGTTCTTTCTCTCCTTCTTTGCTTCTATGAACAGCTATATTATCGAAATTGTGTGTCTTAATCTTTTGCTCCCCTGTATAAATAAAGATGTCACCGCGATCAAGTTATGTTTCTTTACTATTCTTTAATTCTTTCTTTCTGTTCTCTCTAGATTTTCTCTTCTATTCCATCTTGTTGAACATTTAAAATGTGATCTTATTCTTTTATTTTAATTGTCAAAGTAGTTATAAAGGGACAATAAAACTGAACATAAAAAACAATTTTATGATTTTTTTTGTGATTTTTATTAACTTTTGCTTGACTTTAATCACATTCTGAAAAAACGAATCAGTTTAAAACTAAATATATGTTAACTTTCATATCAGTATCAAAATATGAAATGATTATTTCCACGAATTTTTTACTTATCACGGACTCTATAGAATGAAACAAGATAATTTTGAAGCATTTCTATAAATATTCATCCGTCTATTTAACCTCCTTATATACATCAACAAAACATTGTTTATATTATTTTTCCTATAAATATATAACAGATTAAGATGTTCAATGAACTTTCTCTGTTATCTATTGTCTCGTATAATAATAATATTCTACAGATTTGAACTGTTTCATATATCAAAGTTTCTAACATTATTATTTTTTAAGTACTAATAAAATTTAAAATCATCGAACTCTTCTTGAAAAAAAATCTTATATTTGATATTGTATAATACTTAGACAAAATTGTTAATTCTGATATTGAATTGATTACAAAAACATATAAAAAAGAACAATTATTGTTCAGAAATCTAATATGAATATTCTTTAGAAATAGATCAAATAATATATAAAACTCGATTTCAGTTTTGTTACACTATACTTAGGTTTATTTTGCGATGTATGAAATATTTATAAAACTTATAAAATGATCGAATTTCAATATAATTCGAAATATCAATAAATATATTGCATAGTTTTTGAAAACTATAATTGTTTTTCTTACTTAGTGTATTCTTCAATATATTACGCCATTATCTAATATGCCTCTTATCAATTTTCATATAGGGAATATGCAAATAGAAATGAAGAGGATGTGGGTGTGGTCGTGTGGATGATTAACTCACTATCAACAACCTCCTAATATCCACACACTATTGAAAGAAATTTTATTTATTTATTTTTATTTATTTTCTTCAACATTTTTCATAAATTAATGTTTTTTTTCGTTTATTTTCAAAGATAAAAATAAAAACTTAATCAAATAAAATAGAAACTATTCTTAATCTGAAAGTTTATCAAATTTTTGGATTCGGTGATTGTATTCATCAACAACATAAAGATTTTCTTCATTGTCAAATGATAAACCTTTGGGAAAATGCAACTGATTTGGTTCACTTCCTTCACTATTTCCACCAACCCCAATTTCACCTTCTGCATCTTCTTCACACCAACGTACTATTCGATGATTTCCACAATCTGCTACATAAATATGACCCAAATGATCAACAACCACTCCTCGAGGATAAGACAATTGTTTGAGACTATTTCCTTCCCCATTTCCACCAGCAACAATAATTCCTTCTTTTGCATCATTCTTCCATTTCATCACACGATGATTGTCTGTATCTGATATATAAAGAGAAGAATCTTCATCAATAAAGATAAAAGTAGGATAATGGAGTTGATTAAGTTCATTTCCTTGACCGTTTCCACCTGCAACTAATTCACCTTCTGCATCTCCTTGTTTCCATCGTCTCACTTCATGGTTTTTACAATCAGAAACATAAATAAATCCATTTTTATCGATTGTTAGTCCCCAACAGTTAATATTTGAAATAATAATTTCTCGATTTGTTTGATTTTGAATAAAATATCGAATTACTTGTTTGTTTCCATGATCAGAAATAATAAAAGAATTATTCTGTTTATCAAAAATTATATCTCTTGGGTCATCTAATTGATTATTTTGATTTCCTTTTCCATTTCCACCTACCAAGATATTACCAATATTTGAATTCAATTTCCATTTAACAATACGATGATTCTCAGAATCAGCAATATAAATTGATTTATCATTGTCAATAAAGATACCTTGAGGATAAGAGAATTGATTTAATTCCTGTCCTTGTCCATTTCCTCCAGCAACAGGAATTGCAGATTGTTGAAATTTATTCTTTTTTGCTTGAATTTCGTCTAAAATAAAAGGCCAAAAATAAGAAGAAAAACTTGTACTTCAATTTGTTTTAAGAAAACAAAATCTTTTCATTAAAATACTAAAAGAGATTTTTCGAGACTAATTAATTGATTAATTATAATATAATGAAAATGTTTGTATGATGAAAAACAAAACTAATCTAGATGATTTAAATTTACAATAAGTATATTCAGCTCTTAATATAGTTTTATTTTCTTTTTTAAAAAACTATTCGAATGATTAATTTAATTAATAATCATATAAATGAAAACAATTTATGAAAAATTTCTATCTCAATTTTAAAGATGATGAAACTATTTTTCAGAAAAAAATACTATTATTGCTATTTAATGAAACATACTTTGTTCTGTTTGAGAATGACTTGATGGAGAAGAATCTTAATAAAAAGAAAATAAAATGATTTTATTGAACAATAATAGAAAAATAGTATAGCCTTTCGGCATTCTCATACTATCGCAATCAAAAACATACCTAATAATACAGGGCAGCCTGGATTCCACTGGGTCTCTTGATTAATACCAACAAATTCATACAATTCATATACTTCATAAGTAGCAATAACATTTGGAAATTGAAGTGCTGGTTGTGTATCTTCAGATTTATTCGTAAAAATTAATACAGGAGCACGTGTTGCAACAGCACGAACTGCTCGAATTACATCTACTGCCGTTTTTTGTTTGTTAAGTGACCATGTAGTAATCACCTTGAAGAGAATACCTTGCTTTCCTAAACGTTCATTATTGTTCGCTATCCATTCTTGAGCTTCTTCGATAGTACGAACTACATGTAGTTCGTGAGCTGTTGTTGATGGATTAGCGAAATTAGGAGAAGTTTGAATTGAATCAATAATTTTCTTTGTATTTTCACTCATATTGTCACCAGTGATGCATAAAATAAGAAAATGATGTTGAATGATTATTTTGCTTGGTGGACGATCTGAAGTGAGTTTTCCTAACGTTGGTACAGGTAAAAATTGTTGCTGATTGAATGGAAAGATATCTTCGACAGAAACTTCAGTACCACTCATTTCTCGTGTTGGCCATGGATTAGCTAATGAAAGTTGAGCGACAGCATTATGAGAAATTCGGTTACATGCAGATTGTAATTCTTCATCAGTTACTAATCGTGTTTGATGAGGCCAATCGGATCGTTGTTTAAGACGTTCTCTTGTTTCTTGCAATTTTCTATTTAAGTTCTTTGTATATCTGACGTAACAATGATTCAAATGGGCATAAGTATAAGCTTCTTCAACACTTGCATCGATCGAATCCATAAGAATACGTAATGAACGACCTTGTTGTTCACGTGCTCTAAGACGAGCCATAAAACCTTCATAATCGAGAAAATCAAGAAATTGAAGTGGAGTATGAACTTCGATTGAATAAGGTGATGTTTTAGATGTACACGTATGAAGAATATTTCGAGCAAGTGCCATAGCTGCTTTCATTCCACTATTCATTCCTCGACCGGGCCAGAAATGTACATTCATTGCCGCATCACCAGCAAGACATGCTAACATTGTCTTAAATTGTTTTTTCTTATTACCACCTGCATTCGCTGTTGTCGATGTCGTTGGATGTGTTTTGCTAATTTCTAAACGAAGTTCTCGAACAACAATGGATGCATGTCGAACATTAATCTCGATTGGTACAACACGAATAACATATTTTGGAGATATTTTAAAAAATTCTAATCCTTGCCGAACAATTGACCATACAGGTGAATGTGGGCATTTATCATAATCTAATAAATTTAATGAATCATTAGCATCTTGAAATTTTTGTAAACATTTAATTAATTCTTCATATTCATTTTTAATCAAACGAATATTGAGATAACCTCGACGACTCGTTGACGAATTTACTAAATAACGTGTTTGTGAGATCGTTAATATACAATTAAGTGCTTGATGGAGAGGTTCATCTACTTGTGGCACATCTTCAGGTATATTATATGCTACACCACATGCATATTCAATGCCTTCACTGATCATTTGAATATTACAGTAACGACGAACAAACGAATTCGATCCATCGGCACCCACTAATACATCAAAATCACCTATACAAATTTTAAATTAAATATATCTTTAAAACAATAAGAAAAAAAATCAATGTCTATTTACCTTCAATCAAATGTTTAGATTGTTCATTTAATTGTTCAGGAATTAATTCTACTTGACCATTTTGAACAAATGGTTGAATGAGATCAAGAAGTCGATCTTCAACTTCTCTTATTGGAATATTTCTTGATGTTGGCCAAACACGTTCGTTGATATTTTTGAATAGACCTTCTTGAATAAACAAAGGCATTTGTTCGATAACATGGTCTTGTAAAGTAACAACTTGATCACGACGAGTTTTGTCTTGCCAACGAGTAATACCATGTTCATCAACAAACCATCGACCTTCATAAATAATAATTTTGACATGTTTACCCATCATTGCGGCAATGTTAAGCGAAAAGGTGAGTCCAACCGGTCCACCACCGGATACAACAATGACGAGTGGTGATGATGATGATGTGCTCGCCATCAAGTGCTTCTATAAAACAAAACAGCAAAGTATGATACGTGTGTGGGTGTGATAGTCGTTATGTTAGTGTATTCACACCCACATCCTCAAGAAAATGACTCTCATTTGCCAAGAAAATATCTTCATAGAATAATGAAAACCGAACAGAAAGATATAATTATTCAATAGTCGAAGATAATGAAAAATATGATTGAGCAGTTAATAATCATATTCACTTTTTCAAGTGAAAGCAAGTAAATCAAAGATCAAAATAAAAATCTACATTATTCATATCATTAATATTCCATTAAATCATAACTCTTTATATCTATCAGAAAAATTCTTTTATTATATTTTTATCTGTTATATCTATCTCGAATGAATTTGAAACAAAAACAACAAGGCGCTCATAAACATAAAAGAAGATACAAATAAAAGCAAAGAATACATACGATAGGAATGAATATGAAACTATAAAATAAATTAGTGTTCGTACTTGTAAAGAGTGACTAATACTTTATATTCGAAATATTTTTATCTCTTCTCTTCGCTTATTTAGTAAACAAGTAATATGTATATAGATACAAATATGAAACGGCGATAGAAGTAAAGTCATGATGAAGTGTTAATCGAGATCAGAGAAAAGAATTAGTCTATTATAGCGAAGATATCAAAAGAATAAACGAAAGGAAAGAAAGATCGAGGCATATATTTTACTACTTGACTATCATACAAGCCATCAAAAAAACTACTGTATGATTGAATTAAAGTTACTTTAGATATCGTAAGATTAAATGATAATAAAATCGACGAGAAAATATTTATCTTATTATAAATCTTTAAAACAATTTTAATATTAAGTTATAATCAATATACATCAAATAATAAAATTGAATATCTTGTGTTAAAATAATTATGTGATACATCTATATTTAATTGAGTTGTTATTTCACTGGATATTTATAAACTTGTATGACTTATTAGTTATTTCTTATGAGATCTCGTTTCATAGAACTTTATAGAGAATAGAATGATGTATTTCTTAAAAATAAATGAGGCCGAAAGGACACAAATTCGCAGAGATATTCGAATAATACTGGGACCGTCATTCTTTATGAACCACATTTTATATTCAAAAAATAAAATAAATTCGATCTTTTGTTTCAAAAAAAAATATTTTATTCGATTTTTCTATAAATATGTAATGTTTTGTAATTGAAATTTATTTGAAATTATTTCAATTTGATGCATCCAAGAAAAGTTCTATCAGAATTATTTTATTCATTTTCATTTTTTCTTTATTTTGTTTTACAAGTTTTTATTTTACATTAAATTAACAAATATTTATTTACTTTTTGCTGTAAATGAAAAACAAATTTTTCAATTCATTTTCATTGATTTTGGTTAAAGACTTTTCATAGATTAATATTTGTTTTATTTATTTCGAAAGACAAAAATACACATGTTTATTTTGAAACACAAAAATAGACACTTTATTAAACTCAATCAGAAGAGTTTTTAATTTAAAACTGTTTCATATTTTTGGATTCGATGATTATTACGATCAACAACATAAAGATTTTCTTCATTATCAAATGATACACCTGTTGGCCCATTCAATTGATTTTGTTCCTTTCCTGGACCATTTCCACCAACAACAATTTCACCTTCTTTACCTTCTTTACACCAACGTACTATTCGATCATTCCCACAATCTGCCACATAGATTCGACCCAAACGATCAACAACCACTCCTGAAGGAGAAGACAGGTGTTTGAGACTTCCTCCACGACCATTTCCACCAGCAACAACAATTCCTTCTTTTGCATCTTTTTTCCATTTCATTACACGCTGATTGCAATGATCTGATATATAAAGAGAACCATATTCATCAATAAAAATATTATCAGGAGAATGGAGCTGATTAAGTTGACTTCCTTTTTTATTTCCACCTGCAACTAATACACCTTCTGTATCGCCTTGTTTATATCGTTTTACTTCATGTTTCTGGTCATCACAAACATAAATAAATCCATTTTTATCGATTGTTAGACTACAGCAATCGATATTTGAAATAATAATTTGTTGTTTTGTTTGATTATTACCAAAATATCGAATTACTCGTTTGTTTCCGTAGTCAGCAATAATGAAAGATTTATTTTCTTTATCGAAAATTATGTCTTTTGGCCAATACAATTGATTATCTTGATTTCCTTTTTTGTTTCTACCTACAATGCGTTCACCAGTATTTGAATCCAATTCCCATTTAACAATACGATGATTCCAACAATCAGCAATATAAACTGATTTGTCATTATCAATAAAGATTCCTTGAGGACCGTTGAGTTGATTTGGTTTATCTCCATTTTCATTTCCTCCAGCAACAGTACTTTCAATTAGTTGAAGTTCAGTCGTTTTTGTTTGAATTTCTCCTAAAAATAAAAGATTTTCCTTTTATCCATAATCTTTTTCATTATTTTGAAATCAAAAACGGGCGAAAATAAAAAGGAAAACTTCTATTTGAATTCATTTTAATAAAGTCAAATAAAAAATCTAAAAATTCCATTTATTCTGAGAAATTTGTTTAGATTTGAATTTTCTACTAAATAAATCTCTTTGAAAACAAAAAAAGTAATGATTTTATAGAAAATTGTCAGTTGATTAATCTGCTGAAATAATATTTCGATTTGACCTTATTTAAATTTTTATAAATATTTTAAAATCATTAATTATAAAATATTTTAGATAGAATCTCAATGAACATAAAATAAAAATCTTAAAGGGAATATTTGAAATGTGATTGATTGAAGGAAAATCAAATTCTTATTGAATTTTAATCGTTTGGGTGTCGGTATGAAAGCATGGCCATTTTAATTCATCCACGCCCGTACTCACACCCTGTGTCTATCTCTAGATTGAAAAAACTATGATACTAAGCAAAAATCTCTAGGAATTTTTTATTCATAATCTTAGGGTAGTAAGACCTTCTATTGCTGAGTTTCACCTTGGCTGTGAATACTTTTGTATAAAGTGGAAGATTTCAGGTGAACTACTCAGTTGAATATGTTCACACGTTATTAAAAAGCAAACTAAATAAACGATAAAAGTTTTTATTCAACATACCTTTTTTAAAAAAAAAATGTTCATGAAGACATGAATGTATCCATGGTCGTTGCTCATAATTTGATTTTAACATTATTTCTCTTGAAACTTCTTTCATCATTTCTTCTAGCTTCATATCTGGTGTTGAAATATGGTTTAATAGTGAGTGTGTAAAATAACTGTTTCCATTCGTATGAGGACCGGCAGCATATGATACCGTACCAGGATCAGCTGAGTATATTACGAAAAATTGAGAGTCATTTTTTCGACGGACATTTTTTGACAGGACTTCGTCAAAGGCAAATTTGAGATCGTCTTCATTTTCCGCACTTGTAGCCTTCGATTTCCACGTATTATTTTTTTCGTCAGCACGACATGAATCGAGTATAACAATATTTAATAATTTATCTCCACAGTTATTCAATTGATTTAACAGTTTATCCAGACAGATACAATTCAATGCAGGATTGTGTATGTCTTCAATTGGTATTAAATAAGTTTGACCCTAAAATAGTATAATAATTTATGAACTGATACGGAATTTTTTATGACAAAACTTTTTTTAACATTTCACATCCGATGCAAAAAGAAGCCCTTATGGATGCGAGGGTGTGAATACGGGTGTGGGTGGAAAATAAAAAAGAGAATACTCATCCACACACACCCTAGCTTGTTAGAAAATAGAGTACAGCTATCTAATTATCGAGCCAATCTTTGAAACAAAAATGTTATATTCGTGATCAATACACTCTATTCTATCGTTTCACAAGCATCATAAATAGATTTAAGAAAAAAAAATCTTCGTGATAGCTAACGGGGTGCCTCAGACAAAACAAATCGAGTTTTTGTAAAGTAGAGAAAAAGTTCTAGAAATGAATAATTTTGACTGGACAACTAGAATCGAGGCTTATTTCAGTAGGTTGAAAGCGATCCATGGTTATTTTTCTAGATGCGTCGTTGTTAGGGAAAAAACTTGCTGGGCCGTCATTATTAGAGGAAATACTTTTTCATCGATTCCAAACATTGTTTTATTGCTTTATTCATTTTATGAAGTCGTAGTTAGTTTCTAATGAACCTTTCCATTTTGATAGACTTTAACATACTCTACAAAATTGTCAAGAACATATTGGTTCTATCTCCAATGAGAAACGTTTTTTTCGCAAAAAGTAAAATTTGGTTGAGTTTTCCCATAGCGTCGTTATTAGAGAAAAAATTTGGCTTAGCGTTTGATTTAGGGAAAGTACTCCTAATAACGACGGACAAAGTCATTGATCTTAGACCGGTGACTACTGCTCCAAAACCTTCAACAAAATAGTTGTTTGTATATTATTTGAAAGACGAGAATCGAAGGATTATCGAAATATAAAAACATTTTCAGTCGAATGTAAAATAACTGTATGGGATATAAAACAAGATGAACAAAAATTTTCGGATCATTATTAGGGAAATCGTTTATACTTAAACCTGAAACAGCGATTATAGAGAGTGCTTTTCAGGAAAGTATCTTTCATAAGATACCGTAATATTCACTTACTTTTTCTTCCATTCCATGCCCCGAAAAATAAATTAGTACACAATCACCATCATTAATAGTTGCACAAAGCTTGTTAATGGCTATTTGCATCTGGTGCACGTTTTGATCGAGATATTGTGTGCAATCAAAACCTGCAAATATTTTTT